GTATAATAGATAATGTGAAATAGGAAGAAAAGGGGCAACGGGGAAGGGGAAGTGGGAGGGGTAGGGGAAAGGAAAGAAGGGAATGGAATTAATATGAGAAAATTTAAAAATGGAAACAAAGTTTTTGTAAATAGGGAGGGATGGAGGGGTTGAAGGGAGGGTGGTGAAGGGGCAAAAAATAAGAACCAAGAGAGATTATGTAAAGGTGCAAATTTCCAATGATGAATGTCATTATATTGTATACCTAAAGTGTACCAATAAAGAAAAACCCAAAGCACAAGAAATATCTAACAGGAATGCAGTTCAAGTACTCCAACAAGAGAATGTACATGATATTCACATGTGATTACTTTTCCCAAAATCTTGAGTGTTCATATAATTCCATTCTTGCTTGGTTGCCATCTGATTGTCACACTAAAATCACCTCTTTCCTTTGCACTTCAAAACCTACAGAAACCCAATCTCAGGAATTCTCTCCAGCAGTTGACAGGCAGAATCTGACATTTTTGCTGGACTTGGCTTAGGGTCATTCTATCATCTCCCCCAAGGCTTGATCTTAATCTGCTGAAAGATAAAATAGGTAAAACTCTTGAGTCACAAGCACAGGCAAGGACATTCTGAACAGAACTCGAGTTGCACAGGATATAGTACCAAGAATCAACAAATGAAATTATATCAAATTAAAAGGCTTCTGCACAGCAAAAGAAGCAACCAACAGGGTAAAAAGACACCCTATAGCATGGGAGAAATATTTGTCCACTATTCCTTGGACAGAGAAGTAGTATCTAGAATATATGAAGACAAAGAACAGACCCCCCCAAATAAAAGACCCAATAAAAAAATAAGCAACATTAAATGAATAGACACTTCACAGAAGAAGTGCCAATGGCCAATAAATACCTGAAAAACTGTTCAACATCTCTGGCCATAAGAGAAATGCAAATAAAAACTATATTGAGATACCATATAACTCCAGAAAGAATGGCTATCATCAAGAAATCAAGCAACAACACATGTTGGCCAGGATGTTGGAAAAACAAAATCTTCTGTATTATTGCTGGGAATGTAAACAGTACAGTATGGAAATCAGTGTAAAGATTCATCAAAAGACTAAAATTAGAAATTCCATTTGACTCAGCTATTCCCCCCTTGTTATCTTCCCAACAAGTTAAAGTCATCATATTACAGTGGTACATGCATACCATGTTTATAGCAGCACAACTTTTAATAACTAGATCTTACAAATGGCATATATGTGCACTGACAGATGAATGAATAAAGAAACTTGGTATTTTTGCACAATGGAGATAGATATATAAGAATTATATCTCTTTCAAATGGACGAGGGGGCAAAAGATGAAGGAAAAGGGGAGGGAGGAGGGGGAAAGTGGATGGAAAAAAGAATTGAAAGGGACAAATGTTCATGAAAATAGAGTTTTTGCAAATGGAAAGAGGACCAAGAGTTGAGAGCAGGGAGGGAGCAGATGGGTAGGGTTGAGAAAATTTTAAAAAGAAGAATTAAGATATATTATGTACATGTGCCAATTCCCATCAATGAATATAATCATTATGTACTAAATATACTAATAAAGAAAAGAACCAAATATCCAAGCACTGTAAAAATAAAAAGAATTTCAGAGAGATGTGTATGTATTTCAGGTCAGTTGAGTCTTCAAATCCTAATGGGAAGACCCCAGCAGGAAAAGGAGTTTGTGGGTGCTTCACTGCATCTTTGAAGAAAGAGGAAGATGTTAGATGAGGAGTCAGAAGCCTACTCAATACTCGGGAAAGGCAGTGAAGTGGCTCCTTCCCTAGGGACCTAGGGAGCACAGATCTTCAGATACTCTCTCGCCCAGTGACACGGATTCAAACTTTGACCTCCAGAGTTGGAAATGAACACATGTATGCTGCTCTAAGCTGGTGGTTTGTGGCAAATTATTACACTGTCACAGAAAACTCATGCATCCAGGAAGGAAACCGGAAGACTCATTTGTTCCCTGAGTATTTGGTGCCTTGCTTTGGCCAAGTAAGACATGGGATCAGGTACCAAAGTGGTAAGCCAAGGGCCAAGGATGCAGCGTGAAGCTTCTGTGCCCTTGTGCACTTAGTGGGGCTTTGGCCACGAGTCCCCAGTTTCCCCTCTCATCCTGGAACCTCTCTGGGCCAGGCAACAAATTTACAATGAATTCTACGTACACCTCTTCATGGTCTACGTGTCTTAACAGGTTTCATCAAAGCAATGAAGAACCGAGGAGCAAGGTAGTGAGGGGCTGGTTCCTTGCTCCATCAGAACTTGGGTTCACCCAGTGAAGTGGCATCAACTCCATGATGAAAATGAAATCATAATTAAGAATAACTGAGTTGGGTTAACTCCCAGTTGTTTAGGAGATTCTACTGCCCATGCCTCCTCAGACATGGCTTCATCGCTAGAGGTGGGTGCTCTTGGTGGTTTATAGAGAGCTTATCATGGGAACCCAGGAGGCTAGAGCACATCCACCCACTTGTCTTTCCCACATTAGGAACTGGGAACTCTGTGGGTTTTGGTACCACTTCCCTATTTCCCATCCAGCATTCAGGTCCTCTCCTTCCAGATGTTTCTGCTTTTTACCTCTTGTCCAACTAATCAGGCAGGGTAGTGGGGACATCAGGCCCTGAGAGTGATGCTGGTGTGAGCCCACCCTCTTCCCTTCCCCTCTCATGGGCCAGAGTCAAGGAGCCCAGACTGAGAGACAACTTGGTTGCATATGTTTATTTAGCCCAGAAAGCAGGGCTCCATCAGGGAGGTGGCTTTTGGGGTGATGAGTGGGCAGCGTTGCACTGTAAGAAGCATCTTCTAACTCTCTCCACGGCATTGTTGCTGATGTGGCAGCCAAATTTAGGCACTGGTGACAGTAAGAACAGGAGGAGGAGACACAGGAGGCCCCTAAGAGGTCGGATCAAGGTAAAGATGACTGGTCTTCAGGGTTGGGCTAGGAGAGGAACAAAGGAAACCCCAAGACAAGTAGCCCACCCTGCCCTGGCCTCCCATCAACTCCCTGGCCAGCCATACTCACTGTCTACTCAGCCATCAATGCACTCCCCTGTGGGGAGAGAGAACATAAGAGCAAGCAGGTGCATGCACACACGAGCACGTGCACATGCGTGTGTGTGTGTGTGTGTGTGTGTGTGTGTGTTTCATCTCTGGCTGCCATGACCCATGAACTACTTCTGACTGCTTCTGGCTGCCTCAGGCTCAGCCTGGCTGAGCTGCAGATGATCTGATTTGGAGCTTCCCTGATTCAAGGCCTGGAGATGGGATTTCCCAAAAAAGCTGAGACTCACAGAGCCTTGGTACTAAGGTCTCTGGCCTGTTTACATGCCAGTCCTGTAGCCCCACAGCCTGTGTCCCAGATGGCCTTGCTGAAATCTCTGCCCAGGCCAGGCCCCCTAAAAAGTAAGAACATCTTCCTTGTTAGGAATTAAGAAGACCCACGGGAAAGGGGAGGTGGCCAGGAAAGCAAGACACAATGTAGGGGCAGGAGGTGGCCCATGCAGAAGAACCAAGGTATGGAGAGGTGATGGCCCAGGGCAGTAAGACTGGTGAAAAATGGACCTGGGCTTGAAATTGTCATCTGACCTGTCTTTGGCTAAACTCTCAGGGAGCCACTTGGGGCCAGAATCCCTGGGGAACTACAGACCCTTGATTGGTCATTACCACCCCTCCGGTGACTGGACTGGGAGATTGACTCTTTCCTGTCCCCTGTTGTTGATTGGGCAGCATCAGGCCTGGAGAATCTCATGTCCCCTCCTCCTTCCCCCATCTGATCATTACCAATTGGGACAGAGAAGGCAATGTTGTCCTTAGTGAAGTCCAAAGAAGTGGTAAATTTGATGAAGCGCTCCTTCAATTTGTGCCTCAGCTTCTTGGTTCTCCCTGTGGTCCAGATGGTTGGTGAGTGACCAAGAGAAAGATACTTTCTAATTTTTTTAAAGTTTTAGGGGACAGGGTCTTGCTATATACTTCAGACTGGCCTTAAATTCATAATTCTGCCTCAGCCTCCGAGAGCTGTTGAGAGGCATGCACTGCCACTACTGGCTCACCCCATAAATACTTTTGAATGAGTGAATGAGGCCTCAGAACCCTTTTCAATGTAGGGTCTGTGAAAAAGACCTCTTCATTTAGGGGGTCTCAAAGTGGGGAAGACTTTGGAGTCTTGAGGTACAAGGCTCCCCTCCCTTATGTATTGCCAGGAACCAGGTCCCTGAGAGGATGGAGTGAGGACTCACCGTAGAGGGTCATCTTGTAGTACCACTTGAATCTGACAATCTTCTCCACATAAACCATGGCAAAATGACTGTAGTTGGTGGCTGCCACTCTCACGATGTAGCTCATGACTCCACGGTAACCTGCATTGTGGATGATGAAGGTCATTCCTGTCCTGGCTAGGATGAAGGGACTGTCCCCATCCTACTAAATAAGTCAACACAGGTGGCTCCTCACAGGACAGCATCTGTGTGGAGAAGCAGGGTGGCCTGTGGCCTTCTGGAAGGACTCTGCAAGCTGAATCCCAATCCCAGGGTCCCCTTACTCAGGACTCACTTGTCAAGTTGCCCAAAGTGAACTGGCCGGGTTGGAAGCCAGGGAAAAGAGTTTCCACAGAGTGTTCACAGACCTCGTCCCTGTGTGAACAAGAAATGGTGGAGGCTGAGAAGGGAGTTGTCACAGGCTTAGTCCCCATGAGCTTGTGGAAATGGGGCCAAGACTGCAGCAGGATTCTGAGGCCCTAGTTCAGCCCATCCCATGTCAGCTTGTCCCCCACCATGGCAGGGAACTTGCATGGCCCAGCCCATATCCAGGATTTTCCCACTGAGCCTCTGAATGGTGTGTTGCAGAGGCTACTTGGGCCTCCCTCTGGGCCTCACAGTCTCCTCTGCTGCCTTCCCCTGGGGGAAGGCAAACCTTTCCTAGTTTTGCCTTGCTGCTTCTCTTTTGCATCACCTGACAATTTATTTTGAGCTTCACTATGCTCCACTACAAGCAGTGCCCTAGCGCTGGAGCCACAACCTGATTTTCATGAGTGTACCCCACCCCTGCAACCCATAGCCAAGCCTTCAGTCCTCCCTTGCTGTGACCCTCAATTTTCACGTGCTCTAACTACAATCCGCCCAGTGGCCAGAGCCAGAATTCACTGAAACTAAAAGATACTGGGTTTCCCCTCCTAGTCCTCATCTGCCCCCCTCTGCCATCACCCAACCAGAAGTGCCTAGCCACAACTTTGTATTTTTTTTTCCAAACTCCCTTGCGGCATCTGCACCCAGATTCTGGCCCTTGCAAGAGCTGAAGATGAGGCCATGCCTTGGGCAGGTTGCCCCAGCTAGGAGCTTGTGAATGTTCCCCTCCCAGCTCATCATCAGCTCCCATTTGGTGACCACAGTGATGATTGGTTGGCAACTCTGTTGCCTCCTAATGTGAGGCTCTGTAACCCAGAGTCCACCAGCCCCTGGTGTGACCCTTGTATCTCCTGTTTTGATGATGTGGTGTTTATAATGGAGATTGAACCCAGGGCCATTGCCCCTAGCTATATCACCAGCAATTTTTTAAAAGATTTTTTTTGAGACAAGTCTCCCCTAATTGTCCATGGTTGCTTCAAATTTGTGGTCTTCTGGTCTGTTTCTGGAGCTGAGAATGCTAGGTTTACAGGGAGGTTGGCTCCTTTAGAGTCACTTCCCTCCACACCCTAGATGGAGGACTTGATTGGAAAGCCACAGAGATCCAGTGTCCCTCCTCCTGCTCTGGGACACCCTACTCTCTGTCTTGTTTCTACTGACTGTATGTGTTGTGCTGGAGCACCCATGCATGTTGATGGGAAAGACAGAGAAAGATTGGGTGCAGAGTGGTGAGATGAATGACATTGTCCCATAACTCAGGTCACCCCTTAACTATGACATCAGACTGCCTTTCAGACCCTCAGGAGGTAGTGGCTCACCTGAGCATTGAGGTGTTCACATTGAAGCTGTGGTCGTCTTGCAGCTCGTAGTTGACACTGTACATTGTTAACTGACTTCCGTTTCCATTCTGAATTGTGTTGTCTGCCACTCCCAAGGAGTACCACTTCCCCTGGAACTGCAAGGGGCTGGTGACAGGCAGAACCCAGAGATGTCCCCAGAAGCACCCCTTCTGTGCTGTCCCTGTTTGTACCTCTGGGAAGCCCTCTGGGCAGCTGGATGCAGGGATGGCCTGCAGTGAGAATTGGACATGAACTTGGGGCATCCAGGGTTAGGATAGACTCTGGGTATCTAGATAGCCCTGAATTTTCATGATGGCTTGGCCCTGGGCAAGTGGAATGTGCACCTTCCAGAGCCTCAGTTTTCCTGGCCGAGGAGACAGACAGAAGATGTCCCCACCTGGTATGCACTGGCCCTTGTCTCCCTGAGTCCTGCTCCTCCCACCAAACACTGCCTCTGAGTCCTTTAGCCTCTCCTCCCCTGTCCTCCCACTGTTCCTGTGTCACGGACTCATCCTGCAGCTGCTCTTCCCAAGATCTCACCTGGTCATCCTGGAAGTCTGGCTGGAAGGGAACCTTGTTCAAAGGTGGGATCTTGATCATGTCTGGAAAAAAGGCCTTTGTCTGCAGGCCCCCCAGCAGGATGAGGCCCAGACACAGGAGACCCAAGGCCATGGCCTGAGAGAAGCTACTGATTCTGGAAGGTGTAGAAGGAGGAAGATGAATGCTGAGGTGGCCAACCAGGAGGAACTATATATACGACACCTGGTTGCAGCCCCCTCTATGGTGGGCTGATCCGTTCTTTGCTAAATCCAGGAAGTGTGAGTCAATTGCCAGCAATTCCTTCAGAAACACGTGGCAAGATATCAGCACTCCCCCTGCCCAGTCAGGATTATGCAAGGTAGAGACAGGAGAAGGAGACAGATGACAAGAGGGACACACCCAGAGCTCCAGGGTGACAGGGACAGCGTTCATTGTGAGCGCTTGCTGTGCCTCTTCCCTTCCTCTGTCCATCCCTTGGGTCAGAAGCTTCAGTCTGGAGAAGCTGTCATCTCTGCCCCTGTGTACACAGAGTGAGACTCTGTGCTGAGGTCCCCTTGCCATAACCCAAAGAACAAAGAATGGGCCAGACCTGGTGGTGCAAGCCTGTGGTCTCAGCACTTAGGAGTCTGAGCCAGGCAGATTGCTGCACATTTGAGTCCAGCCTGGACTACACAGGGAGTTCAATCCAGTCCTCAATGACAGATTGAGAACCTGCTTGAAGAATCCAAAGTGATAGTAGGAGGAGAAGGAGAAGGATAGGGGAAGAGGTAGGGAAAGGGAAATAATAGTGATGATGATGGAGGAGGAGAAGGAGGAGGAGGAGGACGAGGAGGACGAGGACAAGGAAAAGGAGATGACTAGAAGGAGAAATAATGCAGAGTGATCTGCTACTTGAATAGGCCCTGTGCTGCTTCCTTGTTCTTGTAAAGGTCATGGCAGTCTGGAGTAGCTGACAACGGGCATTGTGGACAGAGAAGATCAGAATGCCTGCTCTGAGCCCAGCTCCTGGCCCTCACAGAAGCCCCAGGATACATCCTTGAGCCCAGACATGCCTTGAGTGCCTCTTCCCTCATACATTTCCAACCAGTTTGCAGGAGCACTCAGGAGAGAAAGGTTGTGGTATGAGCTCAGTTGCAGCCTCAGGGACTTTGCCACTCCTGTGAGCCCAGCAGGTAGAGGCTTGGAGCCAGGCGCATGAGCCATGCATGTGGCTGCTTAACAGAGCTAAATCCTGAGGCTGCAATTGAACTCATACTACTACCTAGACTGAGGGACCAAGTGAGGCAGGCAGCCACCCAGGGCAAAGTGAGCTGCACTCTGCTGTTATGTACTCCAGGTGCTTTGGGTCGTTGTTTACGAAGATTTGGCCTTGTCCTTGAAATGTCATTCAGATCAGCCCTTGGCCTCTGGACACATCCTTGGGCTGTGGAGCTCAGCGGCTCACGCTAGAGTTTCAGAAATGTCCCTGATCTGACTAACTATAGAATTGTCGGAGGGGTGGGCTTTTTCCACACTGGGGGCCCAGCCAGCATCCTGGGGTAGCAGTGATGTGTCCCAGGTCCTGTGCAGAGTCCCCCTGAGATGGCTCACTCATGAGTGCAGCCACTTCCAGCATGCAAAACCTGGGGCTGGACTGAGGATTTGCTGGCTTTTTATGGGACTAAGAGGGCCTGCAATGGTTCTACCCACCTGCTTCTTGGACCTAGCCTGGGCTTTTGGTGGTGGGCCCTATGGGCTGAGTCTTTAAAGGAGTTCCTGTGCTTTTGAGCAGGGTGTGGCCTCAGTCCCCACACCATAGAGCCCTCAGTGCACCCCCACCCCAACTCTGCTGGGTGATGAGAAGGCAAGAAGTGAACCTGAGCTAACCTGTGGCCACCAGAGCCTGGCCCCCTCCCAGCCCCCCTCTCTTCTCCCAGCCCTAGTGTCTACACCTCCACTACTCTCTATGTGGTTGAAAAGTATCATCCGCCACCATAGGTGCACATGTCTCTAATCCCTGCACTCTGGGAAGCTGAGGCAGGAGGATTGCAAGTTACACCGAAGCCTGGGTAACTTAGCAAGACTCTGTCTCAAAATGAAAAAATAAACGAGCACTCGCTCTCCCTGATGGAATAGGAGAAAGGCTAGGTTCATATGTTTCTGGAAAAAATACTTAAGACTTCTTGCTGTGCCGTTCATGTTAGATTTGCATGCTCTGTGAAATGAACTTAAAAATTACTTTTTTATTTGAATTAGATTAATACTTAAATATCTTCTTTAAAGAATAATCAATTTATTTCAAAAATTAGAAAAATGGGTAAATATTTTAAGCCTCAGAGTTGATAAGATGTTCCCTTGGTTTTCCCATAAAGAAAATAATTTTTTATCTTTCATATTTTGTAGAGTGAAAACTTCTTCTCTATTACAGTACATATTTTTGACTCCTATAGTGTCAAGATAGAAGGAATTAAAAATATACGTACAATGTAGATCTTAGCCTTTTCAAAGTATCTCAAATCTGTCTCGCTGGTTATGCTAGATTAAGTATCTGGTTCTGGTTCATCTGTCTGAATGATCAATAGCACTAAATAACCATTGCAATACACCAGGCCTTATCCTTAGAAGGAAAAATTTAGCATGTGTTTAAATTTGTAAACGTTTCATGACACAAGCGGAATTTGAAAGAAGTGTACGTTATAACATTGGAACTCAGTGCTACATTAAGTAGTCCTTTGGAAGTAGGAAAATGTTTATATTGGAAGACAATGTAGAGGATTTTAAAAATGTAGGGATTTGAGAAGACTTTTTGATTTAAAATGGTAAATTATCCTTTAAACTGGGAGCACTTTCTTTCAACAAAGGATTTTTTGTGTGAAAAATGTATATCTTCTGTGCCTTAATTTTTATTTTAAATTTAATAAAACGGTTTCTTTAAAAAAAGTTGGACAGTTCAATGTGAAGGGCATAGGTTCATTTTCTAGTACGGGGGGGGCAAAAGCAAAACATAGAGCCAGGGGTGGTGGTGCATGATTGTAATTCCAGCACTTGGGAGACTGAGGCAGGAGTATTGCTGCAATTTCGAGGCCAGCCTGGGCTACACAGCAAGACCCTGTCTCAAAAAACAAAAAACAAAATAAAGAACAAGAGCGAGGCAAGGAGCATCACAATCCTTGACTTCAAGTTATACTACAAAGCTACAGGGATAAAAACAGCATGGGGGGAAAACCCAGAAATGTGCATCAGTGGAACAGAATAGAGTATTCAGAAACAACTCCATCCACTCTCAGCTACCTTATCTTTCAAAAAAATCACCAAATCCTTTCACTGCAGAAAAGATAGCCTCCTTAACAGATGATGCTGGGAAAACTGGCTATCCACATGCCAGTAATTCAACCTATGCCCATATCTCTCACCATGAACTGAACTAAGATAAAAATAGATCAAAGATCGAAACATTGTAACAGAAAGCTTAATGTGCTAGAAGACAAAATAAGTAAAACACTTGGAAACATAGGTGTAGGCAAAAGCTTTCTGAATGGAACTCTGGTTACACAAGTAACAATACAAAGAATCAATAAATGGGATTACATCAAGTTAAAAAGCCTCTGCACAGCAAAAGAAACCACCAACAGAGTAAATAGATAACCTATGGAATGGGAAAAAATTTTGCCAGCTATTATTCACAAAGGATTAATATCTAGAATATAAAAAGAATTCAAAAAATTAGACATGCCAAATTTAAAGACCCAATTAAAAATGGGCATCTGAAATGAATAGACACTTCTCAGAAGAAGTCCAAATGGTCAGTAAATATATAAAAAAATGTTCGACCTCACTGATCATTTGAGTAATGCAAATTAAAGTAACACTGAGATTCCATCTCACTCTAGGAAGAATGGCTGTCATGAAGAAATCAACCAATAACAAATGCTGGTAAGGTTTCAAGGAAAAGACATTCTTCATTATTGGTGGGAGTGTAAATTGGTATAACCACTATGGAAATCAGTATGGAGATTCCTCAAAAATTTAAAAATAGAAATTCCATTTGACCCAGTTAGTCCACTTCTAAGTATCTTCCAAGAAGAGTTAAAACATTATACCACAATGATATATGCATACTCACATTTATAGAAGCACAATTCTTAATAGCTAAATCTTTTTCTTAATAGCTAAATCTTGAAAGCAGCCAATATGACCATCAACAGATGAATGGATAAAGAAAACGTGGTATGTATAGACAAGGGAGTATTAATCTGCCATAAAGAATGATAAACTTGAGACATTTGTAGGTAAATGTATGCACCTGAAGGCATAATGGTAAGTGAAGTAAATCTGACACACAAGCTTATATATCACATGGTTTCTCTTATATGAGAAACTCAGTAAGTAAGTAAAGTTTGAAATAAAAGACAGATCGAGAGAGAAGGAGAGAGAAAGTTATTGTAATCCAGCATGGACAATGCATCTAAAAGTGTATGATGATTTAATATAATTGTCGTATCTTTTATATATCATTGCCCTATTGATCTGGTTGTTAATCTGTACCTGTTAATTAACGTTATAAGGACTTATAAGGTAAATAAAAGGATCTGATTCTGGTAAAAAGTTGAGGTGGAAGGGGAGGGGTATAAACAGTACTGAGAGGACATATAATGTATCAATTCCTCACAATGAATATAATCATGTACTGCAGCATGTACCAAAAAAAATTTTTTAAAGAACACACTCCTTAAAAATAGAACTTGTTAGGGCCGGGGTTTAGCTCGGTGGTTCCGGAGCCTGCCTCACAAGCACAAGGTACTGAGTTTGATCCCTGGTACCAAAAAAAATAGAACTTGTTATAAATATCAAGAAAGTAAATGAGAAGTATACAAACGACAAAGAAGAGTCTCCTACATTCTACAATAACAGTGCTGTAGGCGGAATCAGATATAGCTCAGGTTAGGAACTCAACTACTGAAGCCCTTTTGTGGCTGAAGAGAGGTCTCAAGTTTCTAAAGGGGATTTTGACAGAGTGAAAAATTGGGAAAAGAATACCCAGATATCCCTGGATAATGTGCATGATAAAACATTATGGCCATACACTTATAGGTACTTCCCAGAATTTTTTCAATAGTCAAGGGGGCAGCTCCACCCTATGAAGATTTTGTGGCTGCATTAACCACAAAGAAAGAT